GGCTTTCACATTTGTAGTTCTCGTTGTTTTTGGTGTCTGTCCCCAGTGGGTCAGTTTGGTTCAGTGGCTTGTGTATGATTCATGGTGGAGGTGACTGGTCCCTAAATATTGCTTCTTATAGCATATTCCACCACTTTCTCTCTCTCCCTACTTGCACCTGAGTGTTCCAATTCACCACTGTTTTATTGGGAAACTTCCTATGCAAGTTAAATGGCTCTATTTATGTGCCCTGTAATAGAAGTTGATTTTATGTCTTCAACAAAATTTTCAGCACATGCTTTCTAACTGTTCCTCTAGTGACTGCCACAAGTACCCAATAAATCCCCTTATACACTTGCATCCCTTCCTGGGGAGAAGTATTGTGAGTGGAGTAACTCTGGTAAACTAAGCAGTTTTACTAAAGAGTCTAAGTCTTTGAAAAAGACCATGTGAGGCAGCCAGTGTTGGAACTTTGTGTAGTCTCAATATTTAAATTGAATAGAGAGTATATTATGAGATTTTCCATATTATTAAGAGACAGTGCAAGGATTTTGTTTTGTTTTACTCGTCAACCTAGTAGATTAAGGATTCTAAAAAAACTAGATTAATTGAAGAAAAATTTCAGAAACTCCGTTTAATCTACACATCTGAGTAAATTATTAATATTAAGGGTATAGAGACTTTAAGAGAGCCCTAACCATCTCCCCACAGCTGAAAATATATTTCCTGAAACAATCAAGCTCCCTCCTTATTTGCAAGAAGTATGATGAATTAGTGGAGAGTGAAAAAGTCAACAGGTTTACAAGAGCTTTACAAAATATAGATCACATGTACCTACAACTTGAAACATTTAGGAATTCAGTGAAAACATGGATTCCAATGGTTATTCATAATAGTTAGAACTCAGCAGATGTCAATGCACATAAGTGCTGGTGATCAGAAGCCAGTTACCAATTTATCATGACTCTTTATAAGCTCCTAGGCTTGAGATGATCATCAGGAGAGAAAGGAGTAGAAAAGGAATCCTATAATTATTTTATTTCCATGTGTAATGCCTGAAATACTTGGAATATTTTTAAATGTTGCTTTTTGCCATCAGCTGGAATTGGGGCTAGAAATAGAAACAAAAGTGAGTAAATGAAAATACAAGGGAAATAACATTTTTTTCACACCATTATAAGTGGTCTGATAATTCATAATGATGATAATCATAAGAAAAACACTGTTAAACAACTATTTACTAGTAATAGTTTGAACATTATAGTTTTTCTCAATATATGAATTTTCCTTTTGTTAATCTAGTTTCTTTCACTGCATTAAGAGTAAGTCAGGAAGATGTGGTAAGAAGGAGTGGGTATGATGTATGTGAAAGTTTCTGCCAAACAAGAAATGTAGAGATTGAAAGAAAAGTGAAGTTCCGTTTAAAGGGTGGAAGTGGAGGCCAAGTTTTCAGACCTGAATATTTTGGTTTACCATCACAGGGGTGTATGTTAGACTCCACTGAAAAATTTTGGGGGAATTTCAGACCTGCACATCATTTGTCAGGGCAGAGCCTCAAACACCCTTAAGACCAGTGGCCAAGTGGGACAGCAAAAGGTTATAGCAGTATGTTACAATTCCTCTTGTTTCTTCCTGTTCCAAGTATGGTAATCCAAGTGTTTGAAGGTTCTTGAGTGTCCATGTAGGAAAGGCAAAAGTAAACTAAAAAATAGGAATTTAACCGGAATAAGATTTTCAGAGCAAGATTAAGTTAGTTGAAGGAAAAAATGTGTTGCATTTTTAGTCAGAATATGTAAATTACAAGCCCATTCTTTTTTCAAACTAATAGTTATAGTTTTTGAGTGGCTTCCAGACTTTTAAACATTATTTCTTTTAATGTCTTCTGTTAGTAATGTTATTTCCAAACTATTTTTGATTGTCCCACTCACAGTGGTCACATGAACTTCCTACTGCTTGTCATCTATGTTGACTTTGATCTGTGGGAAGAAATTAGGGGTGTTGCTATCGATCAGAGGATTTAAGATTCAATGTGGAGTGCAGGGCTTCTAGAACAGCAGAGTGAAGACCTCTGTATATCTGCTCCTTCATACAAGCAATGAAATACTGACAAAGATTGTCAAAACAAATTTTTTCAGAACTCTGAAATTAATCAGATGCATGAAACCACATGAGGAGTATTTATTCAAGAGAATTAACAGGGTTTGTAGCTTTTTATTTTGACCTATTTTAATCCTCCTGTCTCCAATTCTGTAACAGTTTTTAGGAGCTAACAGCTCTGCAGCTCCTAAAAGGGCAGACTGGTTAGGAGATCCTCAAAAAACCCACTCCCAAAGCACTGCCACACTGTGATTTGTCTGGCAACTCCCTTAAAAAAACACATTCATTGTGCATTGTTGTTATTTGACCCTGGAAAGGAGGGGAAAGGTTATTGCTAGATTTGCCACATTAACTAAAATGTTCAATTTTAAACAAAAATTATGAGACATGCAAAGAAACAACAAAGTGTGTCCCA